GAAGCTTCCTTCAGCTTCTGAGGCAGGATCCAACACCGTCAATACACAGTGAGGAAAGGGCAAAACCTCTTCAGGATTGGTTCAAAACACTGCCGGATCGGATCCTTGTCGACACGGCTTGTGTTAGATCAACGAGATGGTGGACACGAGTGATGCCTGGAAAGCCCATTCTTTGCCACCTACCGGAGCCACTTGGCCATGCTTTCATCGCCTTTACCCAGCAGTCTCTTGAACCACGGTCGGAGATGGTTGAATTAGGATGCAGCGGTTCGGCCTCCGCTTCACACACGCGCTTCGGCTTCGGCCGGCATGGGCTGAATACACCTGCGTCTGATGATGTCTGACGGCTCGGCATGTGAGCGAACAAGCGGAGATGATAGCAATTGCCTCCAACCTAATGGGGGATGGCCTCCAACCTTAATAGGAATGGCCTCCAACCTAAGCGATGGCCTCGACTCCAACCCAAGACGATGTCTGATGGACTCTCTGGTGTGGGGAGAGTGACTGAGTTGTGGGGTCACTGAACCATTCCACTTGACGGTTCCCGCCGAAGCTGCATGGCAATAAGATGTGATGCGTATCTCAACAAGAACTATGAACTACTTGCGTGCCCTTGACAAGACCAGGGGATGCAAATGACAAGACGTCTAAGTCGATGAGACAAGGTGGCCTCGTTGATCTTTATGTATGCTTTTACGTAGTGATGTGGAGTCCATCGGCTCCCTTCTGAGCCTTATGTGACAACTTATGTGCTCTTCACTCATCTTGAGAAGTCCCACGGCAAATGAATGCAACAAAAACCTTCATCACGGTGCCTCATTCCTCAGGACTGAAGACCTTTTGCAATGAATTATGTATTCCTCATATCATAAGTAGGAACTTCACAGTAATACTGAGTGGCAGCTAAAGTCAGCCCAATCCAATCATAGATTGCAGGCAGAGGGCAATCCATAGCCCAAATTGCCTTATATTGTAACCCAAACGTTCGCAGGGCACCTACAAAGTGGACAGCTGGTCGCGGAATCTTGTCCTCGACGAACCTGCTTGCTCCACCATGCCAGGATGCACTCGCCATGGAACCTCACTCGCTGCGACCAAAAAACGAAGCTGCCCACTGAAGCTGCAAAGTTCAGATTCCGGCCAAGGTGCTGGTGGTTGCATTGCAGTGATTTGGCCACATCACCTGCAGGAATGTCGTCCATACAAATGGCGCACGTTTCATCACTGGAGAGAGTCACCTGCAGGGTTGCAGTGCCATGAAAGGCCACTCTCAGTCAAATTTGAGGCAACGGAACAGACCAATATATAATCCAGATTATAACCAATACCAGTGAAGGCTGATGATGTTTGCAACCATTCATCCTCTGCTGAACAGGTGCTTAGAATCAATCAATGATGTCCTTTGCCAAGGAGACTTCCGTCAACAGTTAGTATGCACCTGAAAAACGACTGTATACTACATGCCGTGTGAATACTCCAGAATGTGAATAAATGTGCAGGCCAACAAAAGCAATTTGTTCATCTACACCAAAATTGCCAGTACAAGAGTGCCTGGACAGGCAATGAGAACTTGACAATAGAGCCCTGGAAGACAAATGCCCTTATCTTTTAGCCAGTTCTGACATCTATGATCATGGAATCCTTGAGTAGATAGAATATGGAAGAACTCACCACTTAATGTGTACAAACAACCTGAGTCACCTTCGCCTCAAACGTCCAGCCTCTGTGATGTCATCAAGGTTCAGCGGCAGCTGCGTTTGAGCTGAGTCCTTCCGCTGGCCCTTCAATGCGGTCGTGACGAAGGAGAAGGCAATCATGATCATGGCCATGCCGATGAATGCCCCAGTGATCGCCGCCAGCGCCATCAAAATGTTTGACATGAGTCGAATCTACCCGACAGCGCTGTGGACAGCGCTGTCCGGGTGAAGTGTCGTTTGATGCCGTCAGAAACGAAGCGACAAATGTCTGCTCGGTGTTCAAGTGATTTTTTCGGCGGACGTGTTGGCACATAGCCTTCATCAAGGTTGAAGAACAACCTTGCAAGTCTTGTCTTGGCAGGATGTTTTCTGCAATCTTGCGGCTACAGTAACTGCTGCTCGTGCACCATCGAACATAAAGAGATCTCTAAGCAGCTGCAAACAGTGGTTCGCACACAATCTGTATACTAAATATATATACTAATAATGTACCCTCTACCCCCGTCCCATAACCCTCCACCTTATCCAGGCAGAAACAAGTCAAAAAGGACCTTTTTCTGCTCGGCCGTCCAGGTCAACCCGCCTGATGCCATCAGTGCCAACGTTGAAGCTGCAGCTGATGGTCCCGAAGACGCCAGGATCCGTTCTGAACTGCGAAGATGCCCACAAATGGGGATGATTTTCAGGTGATTTCTGCGAAATGTCTGGGGGCCGAAGTGGAACTTCCATACGAATCACAGGCATCTAGTCTAGCATTCAGGCTGACCACTGTGGTCGAGGTTGCCTGGCAGCTGCTGTAGGAAGTGAGGAAGGACCACGGTGCTTGGAAAATGCGATGCCGGCCGCCGACCGCCGACCCCCTATCAAAGCTTCACTGGGTCTTGCGAACTGAATTCGACCATAGAGTGATGTAAATATATGTATTATGTATATAATATATATATATATATATTGAATCCAAATGCCCATGGGTGTCAGAATCTAGCCTCGTGTCTTTCTACCCCTTTTGTTTTTCACAAAACCCAGATGGCTGTCACACCCAGCACTGCACAACATGCCTGTCTGTGCCCTTCATGGGCCAAACTGTCATGAGACTTCAAAGGCTCCACACTTTGCACAGATTTCTTGCATTCAAATCGCTGAGCTTTGACCTTTTCTCAGGCGAGGTGTAGGGCAAAACGGCAAAACTCAAAGGGGTTCAGCTCAACATGTCTCAACATCAACAGCTTCTCAACATGAGGATTCGAGATGATTCCGTTTCGGACACCTTCGCAGCTCCCAGGCGCTGCGAAAGTGTTAAAACGGAGAAACGCTTCGTTGTGCGGCCGGGACCGTTCGACAGGTACTCTAGTCATCGCATTGAGTTGGTCGAGTATAACCATGATGTCCCAGCCGCCGTCCCCATTGCAAAGTACACTCTGACTCACTAGCATGGAAGTGGAAAACCACCTGGTTTGTAGAGGAACATGGTCGTAAGGCGGGGACATGCCATCCACATAACCAATTACATTTGAGGGACTGTAACTCTCTTTTCAGGGCGATGTTTCTTGTCATGGCATCTCTCGTTTCACTTTGTTGTTCACTTCGTTTCACCCCACCACACCGGCAGCCTCGTCACACCGAAAGGCCCCAATTTGGCCGGGGCAAGTCCCCAGCCCAAAACTACGACCCGGGATGATGGAAGATCCAGAAATGGCTGGTCCGGCCGCCCAAACGGCTGGGAACCGGTCAAGGCTCGCTTCCTTGGGCCAGGTTTTCCAATTGTTGATAAATAAGGTTCATTCTAGACCGGACAAATGGACAAACATGGGAGCCAGCCTGATCATCAGGAAAAAAGCTGTCCAACATCCCAGGTAAAAATCATCCCATGCGCTCGAGCCAAATTTCCCGAGAGTGAAGCCGGATGCCTCTCTTCTAAGTCGACACCGTGGGCCTAGCAGCTAGCATGCATGGCTACTACAGCATAGTTTACAGCAGAGTGATTGCCATGTGTGTCGAATTGATAGGAAACATGGGAGAAACACGCAGAATACCTTGCCCAATCCCTTGGCACGATAATATACTTATTCCTTCTGCGACTTCCAGCTCTGCAAGCTATTGCCCACATGTCTGTACCAGACTGTGCCTGTGCCTGTACACCATGTTCAGTTGGGGAGTTGTTTCACCCAGACGGAGATGTTCCCTCTGCCCGTGACGTGAGCCATCCGGAAAAAGAAGAGCTCCTGACGTCAGCTCGGACCATGGGCCTCTCCTTCAAACAATGCAGCCGTAAGCAGCCCAGTGCCTTTGGGACTCCAAAAAAGCTGCAAAAGGACCTTGAACCCAGGAATCACTTGGGCGCTGTCTACAAATTAATCCAAATGGGTGCTTCAAGAGGAGTACAAGGTAGCATCCGGAATGACACATTAAACACCAACTTTGGACATCCAACCAACAACAGTCACATCAACCGCAAGGGATTAGTTCCCTGCTTTCGAACGGACGTACACAGTTTGTATATGTAGCCACAATATGTTTGGTTCGTGGCATCTCTGCAAACTCTGCAAAACTGCATCACCACTTGGACTGGACTAAAGACCCACCTAATGCAAATGCATGCAAATGTTGCATGTGACCCAAAGGCAAAGTCACCAGAGTCTTGGTAGACTCTACACCTATAAGGCCTGTGAGCAGTTCAAAGGTGTCAAACATTTGGCGGTTCTTCTGCCGCCGCTGCTCACAGGACTTGGCGAGTTTGGATGGTTGGATGCGTTCAATTGGCTCTACTTGCATGATGTCACAGGCCTGTCTCGCAAACAGAAAACTCAAACCAGTGCACGAACTTGGAGGGAAACTGACCGGGTTAGAAAAGCAAGCAGCCCAGCACAATTGAGACAAAAGGGAGGCAAAGCCAGCTTCCCTGCTTGAACTCAACTCACGGAATTATTTTCCGGGCCCAGGATCCTATGGAGGTCTTCATGGTCCGAGTTCCGTGGTTTGCGGTCATTTCCAGCTGCCCCGAATGGGTTTCAGGACGACACTGTCATGACATATAATCCCATCCAGCCAAATGCCAGATCTTCCTACTCCAAGACCTTCCAACCATCCACACAAGAGACGGGCAGCCATAGGTGGTAACCAGCCATGTCAGCTAGATTCAGCTAGTCAGCTGGAAGCTGCTCATGGCCACTTTCTGTGACCTGTGGGGCTGGTCCAAAAACATGACACTATATGAGTATATATATTATGTGATATAAAATGGTATAAGATGTATAAGCAAATGTCAGCAAATGTCCCTAGGTCTCAGTCGGTCGTTCGTCGGCCTTATCGCCATTTGGGCAAGGCCACATCAGCCATCTCCTGGCGGGCGACTCCAGCATATGAAGAAAACTATGGACCCCGGGGGTGTTTGAGGATTCTAAGGGAGGTCACAAAAACATAACTTAACTGGCAAGGGCCCATGGACACTGCGCTAGCCCCTAGAGTTTTCTAGGTGTTTCAGCCCGATATATATATATATATACTTGAGGCCGAGGGTAGGTGACGAAAGCTAGCAGGGGTGCATCCGGACTGGTGGGACATCAAGCGGAGTGAGGCAAATGCTCATGAGGTAAAACGTTGTGAACATGTAAGACACACAAACAGCAATGACACGGCCAACCTTAGAATTGAAATCCCGATAATTAAGGAAGCGTGGCTGGAGTTTGCCACACTGTTCGATGCATCCGATGTGTTCACGAACCTGTGAGCTTGTTGAATCTGTTGCACCGTATCCCAAAACCTCCACGGAGGAATTGAACCAGTGTGGATGCCATAAGAGGGGCAAGGGACTCATTTGCGACACCAAATCTGACTCATTTGCGACACCACCACCCCCCTGTATTCCTCTCATGTACGACACCAAATCTCTCTCATTCGCGACACAGACACATACACACAT